ACTATGTATGAATTCTAATCCACAAAAGCGACCTACAGCTAAAAATATTTTTCAAAAGCTTGAAAAATGGTATGGCTTTATAGAAGAACTTGATGAAATTGATATTGATGAATATGACATAAGTATAATAGAGCTCGACGAATCTGATAAACCAGAAAAAGTAGAAATATGTAATAAATTTTGGGAATCCGATGAAATGGCCAAACAGTTACCCGTAACTTTGCAGAAACACCATGATGACACATATACGAGTCAATTTATCGATACTTATGATATTTCTCAACGATACAATGAATTGTTTAAAAGCGTTAACCTCTCTCAGCAGCATGATGAATCAGTTTATATTGGCAAAACAGGTATATTTTATTAAATAATAATTATTACTGTAACCGATATATTAATTAATTTGTCATTCTTAATAGATTCTACTGCAATTAATTTGAGGATACTGTAGTGTTGTAATTGGGAAAAAAAACTTGATATCAAACATATTCCGAGTTGATGTAGCTAGTTGACGCTAAAAGTTTTTTGTTCTTTTTTTACAAATTGTATTTTTATCTATATTGTAATGACTTTGCATTCTGTTGTAATTTTAAAAGTCAACGATAAGTATATACAGTATCTACCATATGTACTGTAACTAGGGTTCGCTTTTTATTACATAATATGATAAATAAAAAAAAATTATTATTTAAACTATTTTTAATTTGAAAATAAACCATATTTTTATTGCATTATTAAAAGTTTGTGGATATTTTTGCACCAAATACGTATATAAAGCATATTTTATTTAACAATAATTATAATTTTCACAAAAAAAAATCATATTTAATAAAAAATTTAATTCTATTTTTATTTCCAACAGAAACTATCATTACTTTAGAAAAGAAATACAAGCTAATATGATCAAGTTGTAATGTCCAATAACAATATGTTAATTTTAAAAAATTATATAAAAAATTTTAATTATTTAATATTATTCAAGGTTACATTATTTGTTATCAAATTATAGTCAATTTAATCTAAAATTATTAATAAAAATGTATGCCAAAATCTTACTTTTTGATTCAATTTATATCATTTGACATTTAAAAAATTCATAAGAATTTAACAATAATCAAACAATATATAACTGATTCTAATTTATTTAAATAAATATTTTTGAAGATAATCAAAATTTAAGGTATAATTTTATTATTCTAAAAATATAGCCTTAAATATTATACTATATAATTTTTTTTATTAATTTAATTTTGGAGTTTTATATTTTAAAAAGATTAAAATACCAATATTTTTATCAATAAATAATATTATTTGTTAAATAAGTATTCATTTTAAAGCTTAAGCCATATATTTTATATATAAAGTTTAGTTTATATTAAATAATTGGCTATTAAGATAATTATGTAATAATATTTTTGTTAGATTTTTGAATTTCAAAGTCTTTAAACATTTAATATTTTATATTTTAAAATTTTATTTTATTATATCTTTCTTAAATATTAAAAAAAAATTTATTAATTTTCATAATTTCTATTTTTTAATTTTTATTTTTTATTTATCTTTATAAAAAAGTCTTATTATATCAATTTCATATAATATTGTTTTACTATTATTTGATAACTAACCAAAACAATTATATAATTATTTTTAAATAATCCATATATTATAAATACTATTTTCTAATTTACAAAATAATTTAAAATTTATACATAAGGATCTTAATGATTCTTTTTAATTCTGTATTTGATTCTCAAGTTTATATTAAATTTAATA